CCACCATCTCCTTCCGATTACTATAATTTTCCGACGACCCAAACAAACCATTTAGGTCTTGGCGGCCGCCTTGCGTTTGGTTACTGTTCTTGTCGAGCGAGTCACATGTCAGGTTTAGTTCTAGGTCCAAACTCATGTCGTCGTCGTCTTCCTCCTCATCGTCATTTTTATCGATTTGGTCTCTTGGATCCTTTGATGTTCTCTTATTAGTCGTCGTGTTGTAGAAGTGTATCTTCCCCGACTATATTAGAGAGAAAATGACAATAAATTGATAGGTTACGTTATGGTAAATTTAATATCTTGACACAGTTGTTTGAAAAACAGACTTACAATGAAAAATATTAGTTATATATCCTCGTTCAATTTTGAAAATTTAGTAAAAAGAACTACAAAGAACTTTAAAATAAGAGTAAGTCTGACAAATTCTCTTTTTGTTTTCACAACTCTATATCATATGTCATATTAAATTGATTATCCATATTTTTTAACGGTAAGTGATCAATGATATATAAGATTACAGTAAACTCTATTTAGAGAATAATTTAGAAATAATTTGAAAGACGGTTTTTGGAAAGGGTATATTGGAGCACCTGAATGTCAAGGCATCTCTGCCAGTCGGAAGGTAGCGGAGTTTCGAGGTGAAGCTCGATATCGAATATGGAATTTTGTGGCGGCGGCGGTGGCGGTGGCAATTGAGCTTCCCATTTCCTCTTCTTTGCCAAAGGATCTGTAGGATCTCGAATTGCTACTCTCTTGTCGTTCAGAGAAGAAGGGAGTGGCTGAAAGGGAACCATGGCTCCAAAATTCAAAAGATGGGCTGTTTTTTCCCTTTGTGTTGGGGATGGGTTGGTTATATAGGAGAAAGAGTTCGGGGTAAAACACTGCAGCTGAGAATCTAAACAGGCCGGAAACTAATTCATTCAATAGACCCTACCGATCCGCCCTAAGAAGTTTATTTAGTCTCCATGCCTTAAAAAAAATTAATAATAATTGTTTTTTAAGTGTCTATATAAAATCTTATATTAAAGTCTTTTGAACGATGAATGTGACTTATTAACTAACTAGTTCATTTAGAGAGGTAAGATTAATAGATTTATTATATACCGAACTGAAAGTTAATTAGCCTATTACAAGTATAAGAAAAGAAAATTTTTAAAGTATAAGAACTTAAATAAGTTTAATGATCAAATTTGTATGATGAGAAATTGCAATTACGTGTATGAACTATAGATTTAGAAGGCGGGAGGTCGATGCGGGTTAATGAGAAGGATGTGGAGTGGCAACCAACTTGTGATGGGGGTTTAATGGGGAAAGATGAAAAGGTTTACACTTTAATTTTCCTTTAGGAGGGTAAAATATAATATGAAACCACCTGATTTGGATGCCTAAAAAATGAGAGGAAGATGGAGGGAGGTTGAAGGGATAATAAATGAGGGGAGATTGAATATGGTTGAAGGGTTTGGGGAAAAGTTTTTGCTTTGAATATATCTATATTGGAAGATCCTTTAATAATAATACACATAATAACTCCAACTTCCACAATTGGGGTCACTCAATGAACTTAAATTTTCTCATAACTCTCAACACCCACTTCCACTAAATAAATGTTCTCATTTATTTTTTTTAGTGAAGGGGCCAGTTGAATTTTTGTAATCAAGGGCAAAGATAGAATATTAATTTTTAACATCCTAGACTTGCTAATTAAGTTCGCCCGTGATATTTCATCATGTTTGCTAGAAATACTATTGATTTTTTTTAGTACAACCATACATGTGGTTGCGGATTCGAATCTACAACTTTTAGTTTGGAAAATGTTTTAACCCAATTGAGCTATGTTTATGTTATAGTAAAACAATATTGATTAAATTGAACAATGTTATTACATTAAAGATCGAATAATATGTTTAGGGTTTGTTTAGTTACATTTTTATTTCTCGTTTTTCATTTTTAGTTTTTTAGAAATATAAGCATTTGGTAATTGTTTCTTGTTCTTCATTTTTAACCTACCTTCCCAAAATTGTATAGACTTTTTGGAACAGAATTTTTTTTTCTTGTTTCGTATTCATTTTTCCATTTTTCCAAAACATAAATTATCATTTTATCATTCTTAACTTACAAAATACTTAACAAATATTAGAAAGTAAATATAACACATAAAAAGTCTAATATTTAATTAAAAAATTTTAATTTTCATATTAAAGTTTTACTTTTTTTTAATTTAAATTTTCATATTAAAAAATTTTACTTCCCAAAATTATTATTTTTGTTTTTCTTTTTCAATAGAAGAAAGAAGCAAGAAAAATAGTTGTATATATCAAACGCAGTTAATGATCCGTTTAATTTTTATTTATTTTAAAAAATAGCAAAGGAGAAACGAGAAACAAGAAACATAAAATGTTAACCCAGCCGGTCCTTAAATAATTTTTTTCCTTTCCTTTCCTTTTTTGCACACTGTTAATAAATACATGAATTGTACTGATATTTTTACCCACCACCACAGTAAAATACTAGTATTACTGAGAGCTTCTACCTCATTAATTACTATGTAACCAATTTTTCCCCCATAAAGCCAATGCTTTCTCCAACTGCACTTCTTAGGCCCCAAAATATCCACTTTTTGAGAGAAATTTAATGTGCATTATTGTTTACTATAATGTTTTTGAACCAACAAGAAGCAGCTGCAGCTGCCTTCATTCTCATCCCCAAAGCTCAGGCAGTGGTGCTTTAGGCCACAGTTTGATAACCCAACAAAAAAAATCAGACACACAATAAATTAGGTTTTTAATATATGGTTGTAAATTCATCAAACCTTGTCATTACTAATTTGTTACCTTAAAAAACCAGGTGGATATATGGGGCAAAGGAATTTAATTCAATTTATTCCCTACTTGGATGGGGAGAAGCTGAATTAAATCATAATTAACCCGCATTTATGATAAACTATAAATCTTATAAACATTACCTTCGTYTCAATACAATTTTTAAAAATAAAATCATTATCAAATAAGTTAAAAAGTGAACAAATTTTTTTAGTGTCAAACATGAAAYTAGAGAACCTTTGTGTCAAACATAATTATATGTACTCATAGCAGTTGGGACACATAACTAAAACTTTACCTCCCATCACGACGCTCTTGCTTGGAGAATGTGTGATTTGAAAGCTTAATATCGACAAAAAGAGGATGACTATTGTCTTTTTCCTTTTTATATCCGTGAGTGTTTGAACCAACTTGCATGTACCTCGGCTAATCTCACGGGACAACTGACTTACTAATTTCTAAAATAGACGACCATTTATRGGAGAGATATTATAAAAATGAGATTTATATTTATGTTATTGACGACATGGGAGCCACCAAAGAGGTCAGCAAAGTCGTGATAACCAAATAGTACTATTGGACCACCATTATATAAAGTGATGGAAATCATGGCTAGAGAAAATTCTAAACACATCAATCCCTCGATAAAAAATACACGTTTGGAAATCATTGACTAACCATTTGGAGATTTAACTTTTTACAGGGTAACCTCACTTATAAAATTGTAGGTTCAAATCTCCGGTACGTACAATATATATTTACCATGGGTACGACTTTTGCTTTCAATTCACTGAAAAAAATGTCTCGTACCAATAAAGATGTAAATATCCTCGATTCTCGCAAATTGATAAGAACATTGTCATTCGTACTCCAAACAAGTTTTTGGTTTGATCTCCATACCAAAAAAGAGTGAGGTAGGGGTTGAATTTCAAAGGAAAACTTTACCTGCCTTCATTAATTGACCTTGAATTCACTTAAATGCAGAATTCAAGGATTGACATTGAAACAACCTCTTGCTTTCTTCAACACGTCTTTCCTTCTTCACCTTTCTTTCGGTTTAATGCTCTCCAACCCACTTCTCTCTCGGCGTACTTTATCTATTGAAATATGCTCGAATTAGTAATAATTAATTAGCAATCACATATCTCTTAAAGAGAATGACTATAAATTTTAATTTACGATTGTAAAATTCCATTTGAATAACTTCGACACCAACAACGAYCATTCAATACTTTTACATTTCCATATTGATACGATATTATATATCGAGCAACACGCAGACAGTATATTGCTACTGTGCGTGAAGATCGAGGCTCAGTTCGGGTTTCTGTTTGGCATTAGTTCATGTATATTATACGTGGGTAGAGAGAAATGAGATTTAAATGGTTTTGGTGAGATGAGGATTAATTAAATTGTCAGTTGAGGCTTATAAATATAGGGAGTTGGAGAACAGAGGGTAGGTTTGAACTTTCAAGTTTAGTATATATGGCAGGCTCACCAGAATTGCAGCAATTTAAATCTTCTCAACTGTCTTCTCTCCTAAATGCCTTAATTTTTCTATGTACTTTTACCAAAGAGTGGGGGATGTAAGCTAACCTAACCTCACCTAAAACTATATCAAATTTATCTTTCTACAATTATTGTTTCGCTATCTCGAAATAGGTTTTTTTTAATTTGTACCTGAAGATTTTAACCTCCGAAMTTAAGGAAATAAGTAGATATCTTAACTGCTTAACTATGTTCATTACTAACGTTTCATGAATTAGAGAGGTTTGAATATTTATCCAATGATAAATTAAAAAAAAAGTTCTTAAAAGTTTTAATTATCTAAAGTCAAGTTTAGTTTATAAACTTTCTTACTATTGTGTCTAATAGATTTCCTCGAACTTCACAAAATGTTTAATTGGTTTTTGAAGTTTAAAATGTGTATAACTCAAATTCCTAAACTTTCAATTTTATGTCTAATATKATAGGTTTTCGGACTTTCAAGTTTAATGTCTAAGTCCTTAGATATACAAAAATTGAAAGACTAGGGATCCTATTTAGGTTCATGTGGGATTTTAAAAATGTCAAGTAGGCCGTCAAATAGAGACAYAAAATTAAAAGTTCAAAGGTTTGTTTAAAATTAATTTAGAGATCTATCAAATATAAAATTTAAAATTTAAAAATTTATTAGACATGACGTTGAAGTACTTCAACATGAGTTATTATTGGATATATTTAYGTATATATATTGGATATTAAGAGCTGTTAAAGGTTGGAGATATATATATGTATATATTACATAATATATGATCTTGGATGTTATGATTTTAGGTCTAAAGCGTCTTACTTTTTGCTTTTATCTTAAGATTATAAAGAATTATTTCCTGATATATCGAGTACCACATCCAATTCCTTAATTAATATGGACAAGTACAAAACATGAAAACTCGACTATGATATTACACATATGATAAGGACATGGTTCAAAATGGTTCAATTTTAATTTTTGCAGAGGTTGGAGGATTGAATTAAATAATTCACCCCTCSAATCTAGCTATGTCAAATTAAATCATAAAGCATCTTTGGACTTAACTTCCATGTACTTTAATTAATTATTTTTAGTACCGTAATTTAGAGATCTGTCAATTACCRCTGAATTATGTTTCAGTTGACATGTATTTTAATTAATTGGTACATGCATTTCGTTTAGTTGAATGCGTGCAATATAAAAAATAATTGAAAATTTTGAAGTTGATCATTACACWAAACTAAATATATAAAAAGGATTAGTCGTTGGGTTTTATAAAAATATATATGCAATGGGTAAAACAAAGAATTAATATGAGTTATATAAAAAATGCTATAGTAAATAGATGAATTTATAAATGAAAGAAAGTAAATTTTTTTCTTTCCCTGAGATAAATAGTCTTCGTTTTTTTTAATGATGACAAGTAGAAGGATATCAACACACCAGTTACCGAGTTTACGAGGTGAAGGARCGCTCACATTGTTTTTTCTTCCTAACGATATATTATTTTGAAAACAAAATATGCAAGTATGATTTTATTTAAATGCTTCCATTTAAGATGAGAAAGGGGACTA